TTGCAGTTGAACCTTCAGTTGTTGTTAATGCTGTAGTTGCTGTTGTTTCTGCAGTTTCAGTTGTACTTTCAGTTGTTGATGCTGTAGTTGCAGTTGCTTCTGTAGTTTCAGTTATACCTTCAGTAGTTGTTGATGATGTTGTTTCTGTAGTTCCAGTTGAACTTTCAGTTGTTGTTTGTGCCGTAATGACAGTTGTTGTTGATGCTGTAGTTTCTTCAGATGCTGTAGTTGCAGTTAAACCTTCAGTTGCTGTTGTTTCTGTAGTTGAAGTTGAACATTCAGTTGATGTTGATGTAGTTTCTTCAGATAATGTAGTTGCAGTTGAACCTTCAGAACCACAGTTTTGTGCAACAGTTTGTGTAGTAGCAACCTCAATTGCCACTATTTGTGAAAAGTAGACAGATGATTACACTTAACACACATGCTACTGAAAACGCATGCATATGTATGTATATATAGATATTTATGACATATTTATATATAGATATTTATGACATTTAGACATTTAGACATTTAGATAGATAGATAGATAGATAGATAGATAGATAGATAGATAGATAGATAGATAGATAGATAGATAGATAGATAGATAGATAATCTATAATAGATAATAGATCATGCTACCATACGCCAAACTGATCAAGAAGAAGAAAAACACTTAAAAGAAGCTGTTAATCGACATGATATGAAAGCATGTTACTACACAATATGTTCAGATGTTACTAAAATATGACAAATTAAAATCTGAAAAGCTAATAACTGAAAAGTGTGGCATATTGTGTATGTATGTATTTTTATTTTATTTTATTTTTTTAAGAGCTGCATTCTAATTTTTGTAAAATAATCAGTTACTTACCCAGAATGGTTAACAAAACGGTCAATGTTCGACAAGCCCCCATTACAGCCTCATGTACCTGAAATATTTGAGAATATGAATGTTTGTTATAAATTGATGTGGAAGTATTTATGCATTGACATAGCTTTTATTTATACTCTCTCCCTCTTCAGACACACTCCCACTGCATGTTTGGAATCATCATCATGCTGAAAGTTGAAGTTGTTTCCAGTCAAATGCTCTTCACATTGATCTAAAACACCACAGCCCCTAAGCGTTGTTGTTGTTGTTGTTGTTGTTGTTGTTGTTGTTGTTGTTGTTGTTGTTGTTTTTGTTGTTTTTGTTGTTGTTTTTGAAGCATGTCTTTTTTTAGGCCTGTAACCTCTACTTTTGTCCTCGATTTTTTTTTTCAAATGTTTAAAGAACACACGTCATACGATGCTCTTTGGAAATCACTTTTTTTGTTCAAAAGTACAATTAAACCTGACAAATTATCTTTGCCACCATTAGTAGATTCATTTAAAAAAAAA